TTATTGTTGGTGTTTGTCGACGCTACTATCATTACGGCTGGGACAGGGTGTCAGTAAATGAAGTATCTAAATTCACGCCCGCTGCAAAGCGAGCGCCCGTTTCCCATGGCTCGTGCCCGCACAAGCCGACACCTTTTCAAGCCCGAACATCACAGCGCCACGACAGCACCACGATTGCTTCAATATTTAGGTAGTCTTAGTTCGCATACCAGCAGTCATGAAAGGAAACTTTGTTAGTTGCTCTCCATCTGGTGTGTTGTTCGAAACTGACATATTACGCCTTGCTGGTCCGATCGCGGGCATCATTGCCCATCATTGAAAAAGTTGCCACATCCGGTGTCTCTTATCGTACTATCAATCCTCAACTGCTGGTGGAGCTCGTGCTAAATCGATATTCCATCTCGGTCAGCATCAACTCCAACAACCATGTCTCTTGCTATAATGCTGTGAAAAGTATCGGTTGATGTGTGGTATATTGCTTATCAACAAACGGTCATTCTAATTTAGCATGCCTCGCAGTGGTTGTACCGCACTTGCACTTTTGCTGTGGATGGGAAGCGAGGGTTGCGACCGAGCCATATTAAGCCGGGACCAACAAATCAAAGTGGTTGCCGGTCCACAACAAGCGAATGGGAATGGGGCCGGCTTCTGGGCCATCCGCACTCGCACGTTCTTGCCAAATGCAGATTTTCCGATCTGCTCGTTGGGCGTAAACGTCTACGGAGATGCTGCGAAGGCGGCAAAAGGAGGAAATGTTGGCGAAAGTTCCATATGTCCCGGGCTTCTTGGCCCAAGACCAATACACATGCCAACTGAAATGATCCCCATAGGTCTCCACCCAAGCAGGATCTTCCCGCATTTCCTTGGTTTGCGGAGCATGTGTCTTTCTTACTTTGTATCGGCTCTAGTTTACAACGCTACCAACACAAGCCCGTGCACGCGACAATGATTTTGATGGGCATCCCAGGCCAACGACTGCGTCACTTCGTTGAATCGCGCTTGCGGGAGGGAATCCGTCCAGCTGTGCATGGCATCACAAATGTCCTCCCGCAGCTCTTGCACAGCAGGCATCGGGTCCTGTCACTCTTACATCAAGAAGGTATACTTCCTTGCCCGAGTCCCATCTTTCACAACATCAGTCCTGAAGCCTGTGACGTGGGATTCCCGACAGGAGCTGCATGCCGAGGAAAAGAGCACGGTAGAGGCAAGCACCATCACCGGTGATGTCAAGGACCTCGAAGTCCTCATCTCCGGGTCGACCCTTCTCGTGCTTCTTTTCCTCGCGATCAAGAAACAAGCTAGCGAAGGGATCCTCAAAGTCGAGGTCCAAAAGAACGCCTTCTTCGCTTGCCTCTTTT